ATAACACCTGAGGACTTTCAAAAGCAGCAACAACTAAAATGGATAGCACATGTAACTTGGAGAGAAAATAGCATAATGAAGAAGTTGATGTTGCACACTACTTCGAACAAATAGTTAAGAGGGAAACCCCAATCAATACTGGAAAGGGCAATAACAGCCATTGGACTTGAGAAACTTATTTCCATAAAGAAATTGTTTTAAAAAGGAAGATTTTATAAATTTCAACCAACAGTAGCACTGGCTGTTTGGTCAATGAATGCCGAATGTTTCCTCCGGATAATATTAACATTACGATTGCCATATATCAGATATTGTTAATTTTAATTATTTTAAAAGCACATTTCTTTCTTCCATGGGACGATAGAGATAAAAATCCTGGGCGTCCTGGGTAAGACGATAAACTACGTCCAACAGCATGGCCTCTGATCAGGTGGTTTTGAGGAGCGTGAAACTTCCTCTTAATTGCTGGTGTTCCCAGGTCCACCCTGACCCGGGATGGTAGCATCTGTTAGGGTCCCATCTATGGGTAAATAGTTAACCACGAAACTGGGGTAAAAACACTAGGAAAGTGTAAAAATCGGTTTTAATACCATAAATACTTTGTAAAAATTATTACGAGTAATTAATTTTTGAAGAAAAATTATTACCAGCAATACATTTTTGAAAAAAAAATACTAGCTATACATTAAAAAAAATATTACCAGCAATAAAAATATTGTTGGCATTAAATAACCCATTGAGGTGTTGATATGCCGTAAAACAGAAACGACCCAAACCAATATATGCTGAGATAGATAGATAGATAGATAGATAGATAGATAGATAGATAAAAAAAATATTGCCAGCAAAGAAAACAAATTGTCGGCATTAAATAACCCATTAAGGTGTTGATATGCCGTAAAACAAACCAGACCAAACCAATAGATAGATAGATAGATAGATAAAAAATATTACCAGCAATAAAAATCTTGTCGGCATTAAATAACCCATTGAGGTTGATATGCCGTAAACCAAACCAACCAAACAAAACTCCTGGATTATTCATGCAAACAATATAATTCTTGATCAGTAATTAATTTGCTCATTATGTATGAAGAGAGGTAATTTTATTTGTGATTTCGCTGTGTTTTGAGTGGATATAAGGATTTGTTAAGAGAAATATTTATATGCACAGATTTTGTATCGAAACTGCCTATACATTTGTCTTTTATATGTACGTTTTTTTTTAAATCTACTAGAATTTCTGCAACACGCTGATGCGTGTTGAAATCATCACAGTATTTATTATTGTTGAAGTTATCGCTAACGTTTCTTTTGTCGTGATTTATAAACTCTACGTTTTGTTCAATTTTGAAAACCAATCAATGAAAAGTGAATAAGCTGATTTGTTTGGAAAAATACTGACAAAACCGCTACTTTGCGGTTTAATAATTAATTTAATTTAATTTTATAGGACTTCATAGTATCAATATTTGTAAAGAAATGTTTTTTTTTCCCTTTTTAACGTCGAAGAATTTCTTACTCTTTAGCATGCAACATGCAATATAAACAAATCACAAGCAGTTGTGTGATTTGTTTAAAGTTCTCACAAACGCAGGGAAAACTTTAAAAAAATGGTGTTTGCAAAGTTACGAAAATACCTAAAAATAGTCAAAATCGAATTGTTTTTGCACGAAAGCAACTGATTACAGCTAGTTTAGTCAGCTTACATAAAGTTATATATATAAAAAATGAATACTGCAATTTGTACCCCTTACCTGTTTGCACTTCTCGCCAAAATTTGGTTTTGATCAGTCAATGTATGACTGTTTTAGAGGGTGTGACGGATTAACTGAAATAAAAGAATTTTATATAGACATTTTTTATGTTTATACATTCTTTTTTTTTATAGATACAAATATTTAAGTAAATGCTCTGTTTTTTGTAATAAACAGTATTAACGATATTTACCTGCCTGAATGTCCGAGAAATTTTCATTGAAAATATGCGTCCTTCGACAGGAATCGAACCTGTATCCTATACGTAACCATCATATAGCCTGACGTGCTCTTACCGATTTCGCCACAGAGGAGCGTTTCGGTTAGCAAGGTCGATTTTACTGCTTTTAAACTACAATTCTCCATGATTTTCTCTCGTACATTTATATCTGCTCGATGCGTATCCAAATGTAAACAAATTACGTCACATATTATGAAATGGACAAAGTCCGACAATTATTTTAAGACATTTTTTATGCTAACCGAAACGCTCCTCTGTGGCTCAATCGGTAAAAGCACGTCAGGCTATTTGACAGTTCCGTATAGGATATAGGTTTGATTAATATAATCTTCTTCTTCTTCTTCGATGTGCTATGTCCCTTTAGGGTATCTGCGATCATGGCTCTCTTTCCTATCTTTTGCAACTGTTAGAAAATTTAGTATTTTTGAAGCCTTTTTCTGCTAATCATTTACACAAGTTCGTTAGGTAGATTATATGCCGATTTCCGCTGCCCCTCTTGCCATCAATAATCCCTGTGAGTATTAAATCTGCCGAGCTCTCTTTCTTCATTATGTGCTCTAGAAATTTTAACTATTTCTGATGTTAAGTATGACTTTTTGTTTCCATATTCTCTAAAACTTCGTCGTTGCTCTCATGCTCAGTCCATGGTATTCTTAGCATCCTTCTGTAGAAATAAGAATTATAATGTTTCAAGTCTCTTCATCTGTGAAGAGACTTGTCTAGCATTTACTGCCATTTAGGAGGACTGACATCACATAATAGTTCAGTTTTCTTTGTTTTTGTTTTTTTACGAAGATTTTCTACGTCTTAATACTTTGCTTAGATTTTGGAAGGCATCTTTCGCTATCCCCATGAGCCTTTGGATTTTGCTGCCGTACCTTCCGTCCTCTGTTAAAACACTTTGCAGATATTTAAATTTTTATACTTTCTTGATTTTTGTATCCCAGGGTTGGGTTGTTCATTCTCCCTTCTTGCAAATCATTCGAAAATACCCATCATTTACGGAGTACAGGTATTCCGATGAAGTCCATAATCTCAAGAATATGTAGCGTACAACATAAAATATCCGAATCAGTATCAGTCAGTCACTGACTACTCTTCAGGAGTAAGCTGGGCCTTCACAGCCATCTCCTCCACCAGAGGGAAGAAGGTAAATCAGAAGAGAGAATGACGATCCAGATGCTCGAGTACGAGTGGGTGTCGAATACTCATTTATGTGCCATGCGTGATGCACGCTTAAGCGATCATCTTTCGATACATGACTGACGAGGCAGATTTTTTTCCCACCGTAGGTTGTCATTTCTTTCTGCAGTAATCCAGTTGCCATCCAAGTCTATAGAACCCGGCCTGTCCTGCTATTTTATGTGCCATGCGTGATACAAGCTTAGGCATCCTTCTTTCGATACATGACTGAAGAGGCAGATTTTTTCCAGCAGTAGGTTGCCATTTCTTTCTGCGATAAACCAGTTGCCATCCAAGACTATAGAACCCGGCCTGTCCTTCTATTTTATGTGCTATGCGTGATACACACTTAGGCGATCATCTTTCGATACATGACTGACGAGGCAGATATTTTTCCAGCAGTAGGTTGCCATTTCTTTCTGCAGTAGACCAGTTGCCATCCAAGGCTATAGAACCCGGCCTGTCCTTCTATTTTATGTGCCATTCGCGATACACAGTTAGGCGATCGTCTTTCGATACATGACTGACGATGCGGATATTTTTCCTGCAGTAGGTTGCCATTTCTTTCTGCGGTAGACCAGTTGCCACCCAAGGCTATAGAACCCGGCCTGTCCTGCTATTTTATGTACCATGCGTAATACACGCTTAGGCGTCCATCTTTCGATACATGACCGACGAGGCAGATTTTTTCCCGCAGTAATTTCCCATTCCTTTCTGCGGTAGACTGATTGCCAGGGGTATAGAACACGCTCTATCCTGCCATTTACCCATAGATGATGGTTGAAGAGGATTTATTAATTTCCCAAGAGTATTAGCACGTAAGTGAATGTAGTGGATTCGAATGGAATTCGAACTCGGCTCTCCGATTTCTCAATCCGAACCGCTAACCCCCACCGTGACTCCAGTATACTAAACATATAAAAGAGATATATTTTTTTAAAAAAAGGATAATTAAGAATATTTTTTTTTTTTAAATCGGTAAATAACAACTGATTGATTTTTATTTTTATTTTTTGTTTTTACTACTTTCACTCCACGGGTTATTTAAAACCGAAACATATTTTGAATTTTAAAAATAATTTTTTTTTTCGAATAAAAATTTCATTAACAAAGATTTTTTTTTTTTTTTGAGAATAACAATGATTTTTCCAATCCTGCTATTTAACCCATAGCTAGGAGGAGAAGAGATGGATTCATACCTTTCCAAACCGTATTTACGCGGAAGCGTGTGCAATAAGCTGGACTGGAATTCGAACTCTGCGGGCGTTCTACTTCTAATCCATAAAAAAATGTCGCTAGATTTGATGATTTGCAGGGATGAGTAACATCAACCACTTGTTTACCAATTGGTTCATGCCTTCAACTTCAAAAATACACAAAACAGATTTCACTTTGTAATTCATCACAATCACCATCATCATCATCATTAGTCCCATAATCGTGTGTGGTCGTAGGGTCACCAATCACCTAACCAGTTCTTTTCGCTTATCTCGGTTGAAAGCCGAGAAGTCAGGTATATATTCATGAATAGCGGATCTGGGTCAGTTGATTTATTTATTTGTTTTTGACGGTTTATCACCCTTTTACAGGTTATTTAAAGCCATAAAGTATTTTTAGATAGTCATTTTTTAGGGGAGTTAATAATGATTTGTTGATAGAAGTCTTACTAATTAACCCATAGGTGGGGCAAGAAGCGGTTGATTCATACCTTTTCCAATGTTGCGCCTAGATGAATATAACGAAACCGACTAGAATTTAAATTCGTCCCATAGATTTCCAATTCTGAGCCGTTATTCATTACAACACCCGCCCTTCGAAGCTTACAAGATCTGGTGTTCCCAAGCGTTCACCCATCTTGGTACTGACCAGGTTCGACGTTGCTTAACTTCGGTGATCGTACGAGAACCGGTGTTTCAACATGATATAGCCTGGATTTTTGGTCAATTTGTCCCTCTCCAGGTCAGAAATGTCCTCCAACTTGAAGGCTCGCATAGATCACAAACACTTGGCCGTTGATTCCTTCTGTGGGAAAACTCTGCTTTAGCCGCTGACTTCAGTCTATGAAGCCCTCTGTCCAGCGTGTCATTACCGCACAGGCTGCATAAATAGCTATGGAGATCAGTCTACTCCACTGTGCTAGGCGGCTGTTGATCCGGCAAGAATGTTCATTTGTCCGTTGACAGGTTTTGTCTTCAATCTGGTTGGATGACTAGCCACTCTCCTTACCAGAAAAAAACAGTTTAGTCGCCGATGACCCGACTAGGTTTTCTGACTATGGCGTCGTTATTGTTTTTTTTTTCGAAGGTATTGAAAGAAAAACAAAGTAAAAGCAAAAACAGAAATCGATGTTTGAAGAGAAAAACGGGAATCAATATAAAGGCATCAGAAGATGTTGATTGACATTATATTTGAATATTTGAAGATTATAGTTATCATAGAATCAATTAAGAGAAAGGGAGTTTCACGGTCAAGAAGTGCAAGAGAAAAAGCTGTTGGAGTAGAAGAGGCGGTTACATTTAACTGTTTCGACAGTGAAAGGGTGGGACCGAAGTGCCAACCTAGTAGCACGCTTAAATACATCCAGTTGAAGTTACCATGAAAATATTTGTGGAACGGACAGAGGGGAAGCCACATCACACCTGTGAGAAAGTGACTGGAGTCGAGATGCCAGGTCAGGACTTATCACATTGCATATCGGTCTTTGGATTTTGTTGAGAACCTCGAGATGAACTGCGTGGGCGCCAGACCATATATGGCAACAGTATTAAATGCAAAGACGAATGGTTGATTTGTAGATTTGAAGGATGGACTCAGACGAGAAACCTTATGGCGCGACACAGAGAACCAACTTTCCTTGCAGTAGATGTAGCTATTGATTCAATGTAGTTGTTTCACCTCACGTCAGTGGAAAACGGGAGACCAAGAAGGCGCAGAGAGACGCTCTCGTGAAGTTGAGCATCAGCCATGTTGATAGGAGGCAGGGAGGGTTTTTATTTTATTGTGTATAAATGAGAGCAGTTTCGTTTTGGAGGAATTAAGAGTTTACAAGCCATTTTCTGCCCCAATCAACCACAGGTTGGAAGTCGTTTTCGAGACCAACGGCCAGGTTAACTTTTTCAGCAATGCCGAATTAACTATTGAGACAAGAGTAAATGGTAGTGTCGTCTGCATAGATGCCTACTTGAGAACTGATGACATCAAGAAGATCGTTAATGAAGATCAGAAACAGTGTAGGACCCAGGATAGAGTCTTTGGGAACACCAGCGTTCGTAGGAAAAAAAACTGGAAGAGGACCCGTTCAGGACGACCTTCATTTCACGGTTTGACAGGAATGATTTGATTAAATCAAATAATCGTCATGTAATACCGTATCCCTGAAGCTTACGAAAAAGGCCGGCATGCCAAACCCTATCAAACGCCTTAGAGATATCTAGAGCCACAACCCGAGCTTCGCTGTTATAATCAAGAGCTTGGTATACAAATTCAGTTATGACCGTAAACACGTCAGCGGTAGACAGGGCAAAGCGGAAGCCGTATTGTCAGAGAGTAGATCATGGGAGCTAAGGAGCTTAATCATTTCGGGATGGACAACAGATGAGGACTTCCAACAGGCTGGGTGGCAAGAGTCGGCGAGGTAATAGTCAGGAGTCAGCTCAGAACCACTTTTTTAAGAACTACGGCTGGTATCCCTTCACCATCACTTGCTTTTTGAGAGTCTAATTTAGAGATGATATCCAATATCCCTGATGGGGTTATGCTCATCTCACTCAATAGAGCCTCAGTTCTATGGGGGGAATCAGATGTGGGTACTCTGGATGAGTCGAGTGTTGAGCTGGATGAGACTTTCCGTGCAAAGCATTCAGCCGTACCAACTGTGGAAGTTAAGGAGGGGTTGTGGATTTTCTGTTGTCAGCAGAGCCGCCAATAATCTTTAGAACCAAACTTGCGACGGGGCTAAGTCAAATCTTAAGTTTTAAATATTCATAAGTTTAAATACGCAAGCAGGCTGTCTTAATATAAAAAGGAATGGCCTAACTCAGATGTTAACTTTTTGAAAGTTTTCTAATTCTATATTTTTTATCTGATTCTGTCATAAAATGAATATTGTTCTTAGATCTTATTATCCCGCAGTAAACATTATAAACCCTTTGAGCCATGCATTGCTGAACATTTTTACCCTTTCTGCCTGAGATCCTGAGTCAAAATTATTAGTTGAAAGTATGCAATTGCGTTCAAAATATATTTAGTTGAAGTTATAAAATTATGTTCAAAATATTTAAATTTCGGTATTAAATTACCCATAGAGGTGTTGATATGCCGTTAAACAAAATCAACCAACTAACCAAAGAGGCAAAACTATCACGACTCCCAGGGAATGACAATTTCATATCACAGGTGAATTAGTTTGTGCTTATATCTTAAACCCTATAAAATTGAAATCAATAATTATTTGCTTGGTTTCCTCTAAAAAAAATTAAATTATAATGTGGCTACCTGTCATAATGGAATTAACAATACGAGCCCACATGTGATACTTTGAAACTTCAAATCATCACTTATTTCTTAAGCTTGTTCTGTCGCAATTCTACAGTAACCTGGTCATTTTTAACGGGAATTTAAAAAAAAAAAAATTTAGCTTAATAAGGCGATATCCGCAACTATTTCCTTCTTTATGTCGGGAATGGGCTTATGGCCACATTACGTTGAAACACCGGTTCTAGTAGGATTACCGAAGTTAAGCAACGTCGAACCTGGTCAGTACTTAGACGGATGACCGCTTTGGAATACCAAGTGCTGTAAGCTTGGATGTGCGGGTGGTGTAATGATAATGGCTCAGAATTGTTAATCGGGGGGCCGAGTTCCAGATGTGTTCGTTATTTTCACTTGCACGAAAATATCCTTGAGAAACGTATGAATCCACCTCTTCTCCCCCAGCTATAGGTTAATTAGTAAGACTTATATTACTAAAATCATTATTATCTTCAAAAAAAATTATAAATAGATAAAATCGCGTACAAAATATTTAGATTTCAGGTTTAAATAATATGACGCTAAACAAAAATATTTGGAATGAGGCCACTGTTACGATCCAGTCTGTCAAAGCCAAATTCACAACTGGGATAAATATCTCGGTGTGAGAAACTTGTACCTTATATTCGAGATGGCCACAATTATTTGCTAATGTTAATCTGACATGGTGCCAAGTGAACGGCGTAACCTGTGAATAGCTAGTACCTAACGCAATTAAATTCGCACTGGTCATTATGTTGGACATTACGAACCCAAAATCAACATATCAGTGATTTGGGATTGCAAAGGAAATATTTGTCGCAGATTACTTCCACAATGCAGAGAATAAATCACTAAGTTCAGACTCGAACATCGGGAGCCGAAAGAAATGCCGAAAACTCGATTCGCAGGTACTATCTCACAATGCACCCAACCAGTCGAAAAAATAACTCACTCTTCAACAAACGCGGTAGCCAAAATACCCGAAATTTTCTCCCCGATTCGAGAACACCAACTGCTTTTATCGGCCGAGCATTTTTTCCATTCGTCGACAACCGGGAGAGGACGCTCAATTTTTGCATATCAAAATACTTTTATGGCGACTCCTGCGACGGACTTGTTTTTTAATTTAAATATTCCGTCTTCAGCATGTCATTCGGAATACGTGCCCTTTTTGGGGGTAAGTAATTTTCATTTTCGTCACATTTTCCGTCGTAGGATACACACGACGCACTGTCGCTTGGTTTGACGAGCTAAGTCGCCGTTTTCATCGCTATACAACACTTTTCTTTTTCTATGCTGTCTAGCGCGAAGTCATATTAACAAGTTAAGAGTGATCTTGCAACGCCGTCATATTGGTCTAAATGGGAAGGGTTAGCGACATTCGAAGTCGCTGTGCTGCTGGGTAACACGAAAGAGTATAATCCGAAATGTGCAGGCCGTCGACATCATTTTTACGACTCCCTTATTAAGGATATTGGGAGAACATCACATCGAAACACCGGCTCTCGTACGATCACCGAAATTAAGCAACGTTGAACCTGGACAATACTTAGATGGGTGACCGCACGGGAATACCAGGTGCTGCAAGCTTTAATTTGCAGGTGCAATTAGGAGATAACGGCTCGGAATTGGAAATCGGAGAACCGAGTTCGAAGTCGAGTCAGGCTTATTATATGTGCAAATATCCATAGGAAAGGTATGAATCTACATCTTCTTCCTCCAGCTATGGGTTAAATAGTAGGAATTGTACCAGAAAATTATTATGTTCTCAAAAAAATTCTTACAATCCTAAAATATATTTCGGTGTTAAACAACCGTAAAATGTTGACAAGCCGTAAAATACAATCAATCTATTTAAATTCAATATACCGGGTGTATGAGCAAAATTGTCCAAATCGTGAAACACATTGGATAATTTTCCATCCCACTAAATGTTCAATATCTATAAAATAGCTAAACAAATTGAGTTTATTTTTTCCAGGTTTCCAGATAATACGGAGTCTGTCTATATTTCTGAGATGAGGTATTATGTACAGTATTTACATTAGTCGGACTATTGTCCTCATCTTTGTCGCCATATTTGTCACAACGTTTCGGCCGTTGTACGCTCCGGCCTTCTTCAGGTGGTTGGAATTTCGAACTGAACCCTTTATTTCGATCACTGGGGTAAACTGTTCTAGTTCCACGTGCCATGTTTGATGGATGTCAGTTATCAGTTATCTCCTGCTAATTTTCCCTCTGAAAGTTCTCCACTGCCTTAACCAGGAATTGAACTCACTTTCTTTGGGTCTGTCACTGGATCTAACCAACGCCTTTATCCTCTGTGCCATGTGTCCTTGAGGGTAATAAAGGGTTCAGTTCGAAATTCCAACCACCTGAAGAAGGCCGGAGCGTACAACGGCCGAAACGTTGTGACAAATATGGCTACAAAGATGAGGACAATAGTCCGACTAATGTAAATACTGTTCCAGATAATACGTTTAGGCATATTGACACCATTTGTCGTAAGAATCACGGAAAAACCCTTTGAGTTATTCAGCTACCAAGAGAACAGGTTAGAATCATTTTGTGTCAGTCCCACTATGTCTTCCCAACTGAGCAATGTTGAGAGGAAAAAAATCATTCAGGCCTTCAGTAATGGTGCCAACATTCATACTCAGGTTTCCATCGTTAAAGTCCATTCAAGAATCATCAAGAGAACGGTAAATAAGTTTAAGAAAGAGAGAACAGTAATGAGGGAAACTGGATGAGGAGGTCACAACAGGAAGAGGGATCATCATTTCAACTTAGAGCTAAAGAGATCAATTAGAAAAGATCCAATTAAAGTCATAAGACGTTTGGCGCATGAGAGAGGAGTCTCATATATGACTGTCCAAGTGAAAAAAGACTTGAAAATGAAATCGTACGTGAAACCTGTGAGGCACCAAGACAGAACGTTAGAAAGTTAGAGAAGGCGAAGATCATCTTGAATAACTTGAGTTCATTTTCTTTTTTTAAACATTAGCTTCTACAACTTTTATCTAACTCTTATATACATAAAAAGTCTATAGGTCACATTACAGAACTTAAGTACAAGTGAAAAACAAAATAATTGTATATTAATGTTTACTTCAGGATAAAAGATCTTCAAAATATAGAGAAAACACTATCGCGATTACCTGTGAAGGCTAACATCATATCATACGTGAATTGATTTGTGCGGAAATCTTAAACGTTATAAAGGTGCAATCAATATCACTGTGTAACCAGGTTTTTGTCATTGGGTAATACCGTATTTCCCCATGTATAATACGCATTTATCCATAATACGCACCCGTAAAAATGTGCTGAAAGTGGGGGAAAATGCTTCTACTCACGTATAATACGCATCCCCTGTTTGGTAATAAAACCCTATAAACTGTACCTATCCAATGTTCATTACGGACAGCGTTTCCTACTCTTATTTTTAAAAAATGGTTTTAAACATAAAATAATATTCTAATTTAGTTTTATGATAATTTTTATTTTATTTTACGGCAATTTTTAAAAAATCTTTTGTAGCTGTTCATAATACGCCCTCCTGATTTTGATTATTATCATTTTTAGGAAAAAAAAAGCGTATTATACATGGGGAATTACGGTTACTGTTATTGGACATTTGCTTACGCCTCAAAAGTATGAAAAATGGTTAATAATTCCTTCAAACTTTGCTTTTGTGACCAGGATAATGATAGATCTGAAATTTACCTATTCCCATTGGGAAAACTGGCGAATGTGAACAGTCTTGTTCACGCAAAATTGGAACTGAACGACACATGATTCAAACGTATCATTTATTTATTTTAGAATTACACAAGAGAGACCATCAACATTTAGAAGTCAAAGACAAATTGTTTGCACTCGAAGAACCAGAAAGAAAATGAACTTTTGAGTTTATGTTTCCTGCATTTATACTGCCTTCTACGTTGCCAGGACGTTCTAGAAATAGTCCTGGGTATGAGGATAAACTTCAACCGGCAGCAAGACCTCTGATCGGGCGATTAGAAGTTTTCAGGAGCGTGGAACTACCTCTTAACTGCTGTTGTTCTCAGGTCCTTAACCATGGTTGCAAGAAGGTCAGTGTGTCTAATAATTTACATGCTAATGTTCCTTACATTTTCGTTCTGTGGAAATGGTATAGTAATATACTCTTTTAATTTGGCCATTCTTATGGCGAATATCATTTTTTTGATCAATATCACCCCTTGAAGGGCAGTAAAGCCTCTAAGACACAAGTGGTTACAGAGTGTGGAAGAATTAAGAACAGAAACATTAATAATGAGCGGGAAGAGGAAATAATAATCAGGAGGACAGTAGATAGTGATGGACATTGCATTTAAATTTTTGCAGATAATAGTTGGTTGGAAAGCATGGAGTCGGAAGGGAGTTCCACAAGCGTGAAATACGAGAAAAGAAACTGTAAGTATAGAATTTACGGTTACATCTAGCTAGCTCAACTGTAAATTTCTAAGATCTCGAAGACAGTCTGCTACAGCAGTTACATTCAATAAGCCTAGGTACCATAACCAAGAACTTATCTGAATAATTTCTATGAAAGTATTTCTCGAAAAGACACAGAGAGGCAACCTTACGGCGATGGAAAACTGGATGAAGCCGAGCCGCCAGATCAGGTCTGATAATATTGCTGATTCTTCGTTGGATTTTATCAAGGAGCTTACACCAAATAGCAGGAGCACCGACTCATTAATGACAGCAATATTCTAAGCATGGACGAATGGTAGACTTATAGACAGGTAAGATAGATGCTGGAGAGAAAAATTGTCGCAGAGAACCGATTTTCTTAGCAGCTGACCTAGCAATGGACTCAATATAGTAATTCTACTTAATGTCAGCTGAGATCAGTTTTCAGGTAAGCCGAGCAATTTATGTCAGTCACCTGAAATAAACTATTTTTTATAAAAAAAATGTGTTTTTGAGTCAAACATTTTAAAATAGAAGTACCAAATTTTTCCAATTTATCCCCAATATTCAAATTAACTGATAAACTTTATCAGTTAATACACTTTAGTAAACCTGATATTTAAGGTGACATCAAAAAAAAAAAAAATGAAACCCTAAAATCTTCTGTTTGATATTCATACATTCATCTCTTCACCAAGGAAACCAAACACATTAAGAGCATTTTGTTTTCACAGTTGGAAAGAAACTCCAACTAAAGACAGTTGAATGCACCTATTCCATTGTACATGATATTGCTGGAGTATCAAAAGGGACGCAAATAACATTGAACATGACAAGCAATCAAGAACGAGAAAATTTTTACCCTAGTTATGTTTACGAAGGTTTTATTTCTGCTGTTAGTTTATTAAATGTCTTGATGAAAATACTTGTTGGTCTTGGTATATTCAATCGTGTTATTTTTTTAAAAACTTAGGGTCTGATTGATATTGCAAAAATAGTATTTATCAATAAGCAGTTGGTTTAAATACGAATTGAGAGGTTTCTACGATTTTTATTTTGAGAAATATTGCCATCGGTCAATATCATATATACAGAAAACAAATGAAAAAAAGTGCTTTTATTAAAAAAAATGAGGCATTTTTGTACAGCAAGAACAGTAGATAACCAAGAAATAATAAGGTCATTTTCAGATTCAGCGCCCTCAGATTATCTATCTATCTATCTATCTATCTATCTATCTATCTATCTATCTATCTATCTATCTATCTATCTATCTATCTATCTATCTATCTATCTATCTATCTATCTATCTATCTCTAACTATTCATTATCTATCTATCTATCTATCTATCTATCTATCTATCTATCTATCTATGTATTCATTACTTTTCATATCTATCTATCTATCTATCTATCTATCTATCTATCTATCTATCTATCTATGTATTCATTACTTTTCATATCTATCTATCTATCTATCTATCTATCTATCTATCTATCTATAACTATTCATTATCTATCTATCTATCTATCTATCTATCTATCTATCTATCTATCTAACAGTTGGTTCGTTATCTATCTATCTATCTATCTATCTATCTATCTATCTATCTATCTATCTATCTATCTATCTCTTCATTATTTTTCATATCTATCTATCTATCTCTAACTATTCATTATTTTTCATATCTATCTATCTATCTATCTATCTATCTATCTATCTATCTATCTATCTATGATACTTTCAGTTGCGCTCTGTCCGAAGACAAAGACACTATTAAGGGATAAAACGTAGTTTATCCGCCAGAGAACAGATACTACACTTTGATCCCAAGTCCGAGTTAAGAGCGCCGATCGAGTGAGATATTAACCAAAAGCGGAGGGCACGGGTACTTTGAATTTAGGCAGAAGTGCAAATCCATACGTCAATGTACTTTAAGTGTTCTCTGTTAATAAACCGGTTGCTTATATGCCGATCTCTAGGATGATTAATGGAGTGGAAACGTTTATTCTGGCTGTCAAGGTTTTATAAATCAACTAAGAGTAGCATAGGAATTCGATAAAAATTCCGAGGATTTTTGGTAACATTTCAAATGTTCTGTTTTTGGGAGCGAGTGGGCGCTGTATCTGGGAGAGGATTAGCGTTAGGGAAGAGGAAATTTATCACCGTAGGACACAAAGTGTTAAAAATTACCTTGAAGAAACAAAATTACCACTGGAGAAAACAGAGACAAAAGGGCAGAGAGAGAGAGAGAGAAAGAGAGAGAGAGAGAGACGGGGGGTCAGGTGAAAGAGAATCAGAGGTGAATCAAAAGGGAAAGAAATGAAAGAAAAAGACGTCGACTTGGACAATGTAAATCCAGATTTCAAAAAGCGATAGACTGAAAGAACAGAGGATTAAGGAAAAAAAAAGTGACGAAAAAGGAGATGATAAAGTAAGTTAAAGAAAATGGGTGAATTGCCAATTATAGGCTAAGAAAGAAAGAAATGTGGAAAGAAAGAAAGAAATGTAGATAAAGAAAAAAATGGAGAAAGAAAATATGGAGAAAGAAAGAAAAAAGGAAGAAAGAAGAAAAAAGAAAGAAATTTGGAAAGAAAAAAGAAAGAAAGAAAAAAGGAAGAAAGAAGAAAAAAGAAAGAAATTTGGAAAGAAAAAAAGAAAGAAAGAAAAAAGGAAGAAAGTAATGTGGAAAGAACGAAAGAAAAAAGAAAGAAAGAAAAAAGAAATGTGGAAAGAAAGAACGAAAAAAAGAAAGAAAAAAGAATTGTGGGAAGTAAGAAAGTAAAAAGAAAGAAAACAATGTAGAAAAAAGTAAAAAGAAAGAAAGAAATATGAAAAGAAAGAAAGAAAGAAAGAAAAAAGAAAGGAAGAAAAAGAAATGTGGAAAGAAAGGAAGAAAAAGAAAGAAAGAAAAAGAATTGTGGAAAGAAAGTAAAAAGAAAGAAAGAAATATGGAAAGAAAGAAATATGGAAAGAAAAAAGAAAGAAAGAAATGTGGAAAGAAAGAAAGGAAGAATAAATGAATGAACAACACTGTTGGTCTATAAAAGTAAAACAGAAAAGAGAAAAGCAAAAATCTTATATAAAAAAGAAACAAGTAGAGAAGAAAGAAAAATGGAAGGAAAGACGAAAAAGAAAGAAAAAAGAAAACTAAAAATGCGAAAAAGAAAAACTAATGCTGGAAATGTGGAGAAAAAAGAAAAGGAAAAATAGAAAAAGAAAAAAAATAATAAAAGTGAAAGTGAATGACAGAAAATGAAATAAAGAAAGAATAATTTCGTTATTAAAAACAAAAACAAAAAAGATAAAAAGGAAAACGCTTATATTACGAAAAAAAAAGAAGAAAAAAATGAAAGGAAAAAAAAGAAAGAAAGAAAGAAGACAAAAAGAAAAATATGCTTCGATTAAAAATAAGGTGAAAGAGAAAATATGATCAAAAACAAAATAGGAAAGAAAAGAAAGAAAAAAAAGAAAGACAGAAAAAAGAAAGAAAGAAAGAAAAAGACAAAAAGAAAAATATGATTTGATTAAAAATAAGGTGAAAGGGAGAAAATATCATCAAAAAGAAAATAGGAAGGAAAAGAAAGAAGGAAAGAAAAAGAAAGAACGAAAGAAAAAGAAAGAAAGCAAGAAAAAGAAAAAAGAAAAATATGCTTTGATTAAAAATAAGGTGAAAGGGAGAAAATATCATCAAAAAGAAAATAGGAAGGAAAAGAAAGAAAGAAAGAAAAAGAAAGAAAGAAAGAAAGAAAGAAAGAAAAAAGAAAAATATGCTTTGATTAAAAATAAGGTGAAAAAAAGAAAAAAGTTTTCATCGAAAACAAAATAGGAAGGAAAAGAAAGAAAGAAAAATGAGAATCAGCAAAGAAAGAAGGAAAAAGAAAGATTCGGGAGAAAAAAGAGGATCAACAGTATAAATAAGGAAGAAAGAGTTTTTAAAGATGGAGATAAATATTTTACATTAGGCATAAGAAAAGAAGAGACGCAAAAAGAAAAGAAAGTAAAAATGGTTAGTATCAAAAAGAATAAAAAATGCAAATACGAAAATAAGAATAATGTTGGGAAAGATAGAAAGAAAGAAAATGTAGGAAAATAAAAAAAAATGATAAAAGGAAAGAAGTGAGGTAGGAAGGAAGCAGAAAAAAGGAAGACAGGAAATCAGAATGTTGCCTCTTTGGCCGTGTGCTTTATGGACAAACGTCAGGCGTTTTCCGATTGGCCATCGGGTCCTGACGTCACAGGAAAACGTCATTCTAAACTCTCGAGAGTGTTCATATCATTTCAGGCTTCCTTGCACATTCCAGACTAGTTACGAACCCAAACAACACTCGCTCACTCACCAGCTTTTATTTTCGATTATTATAGCATATATATATATATATATATATATATATATATATATATATATATATATATATATATATATATATTATAAATTGATTTATTTAAAATATGTTTTTTCGCTACACAGTTCTAACCATGTTTCAAAAATGGAAGCTTAAAGCTACGAATTTAATTTTGTAATTGAATTAAAGACATTAGTTCCATTTCATCCTCAAGCGAATTTTGGAGTAACTTTTAAAATTACTGGGTTTTAAAGACACAGCTAAAATCATAATTCACGTTTCCAAGCAATAATACAGACATAATGAACACGCAGACACCCCTTGTCCAGTTGAAGTAGATTTATCTGTAACCTTGGAAACATGAATTATGATTTTAGCTGTAATTACAAAATTAAATTCGTAGCTTTCAGCTTCCATTTTTAAAACATGGTTAGAACTGTGTAGCGAAAAAAAATATATTTTAAATAATCAATTTATAATATTAATGCTCTGTAAATTTACATTGAGCACTATTTTGTAAAAATAAAAATATCTATAAGAACAACGGATTATATATCTTACTGTTCGTTCTTTATATATATATATATATATATATATATATATATATATATATGTTTTTTTTACAAATAGCGCTTCTTTTCTCTCGTCTCAACCGCTACACTGTTTTTCTGCCTGTCGAGGTGGGGGCTGTAGGGTCGAGGTGGGACACAGAGGACGCTAGGCGGTGGAGATCTTCATTAGCCGACCTCACTGACGATTTGCCCGTCAAAATCTTTCATTTTCTCGTTACATTCATATGAATTGGTAACTAGCGGTTTCCTGTCTCTCAACACCGATTTTAAAATTATATTTTCTATTACGTATATACGTGTACTTACCTGGCACATACCGAGGAAGTTAAAAAAAAAATTACTAAGTCCAAGGCCCGGGGCGAGTGGTGGGGAGGTTAGTACCTCTCCTTCGAGAGAGAGAGAGAGATGGGTTTATTTCCGGCGCCTGAGGCGTCCCCAAAAGCGGAAGTGCCGAGGATCTTGGGCAATTTTTCCACGGTATTGCTGTTAAACCCACTCTAAACCTTGACCTTGTGTCACATTTGGTAGCGACGTGGACGCGCTGAAAAAATATTCATACGTGTATCAAAATTATTTGTGTATAATACGCAGTTTGGGCAAGGAAATTCTTATTTTATACGCTATTGTTCACCGAAGTCAAAATATAAGGACCACTCAAAGGGATGTTTTATGAGCGTAAGAATTATAGATTATGAGGATATGTATCATAGATAACGGTTGATTCTGGAATTGAAGAGCCTAACGTTGTAGAGGTCGGGGAAGCTACCCCTTGGAAGTTTATTCTATAAAGCAGTGGCTCTTGGGAAGAATCTGTCCGAATAGGACTTCCTCCTTACAAATGGAATATTAGGGCAATGAAGATGCGTACATAGCATGACAGGTCTTAGCTGTAAAGGTCTGAATTGATGGATCCAGCAAGTGAAACTCGTCAGAACATTTTCATGGAAATAACTATGTAGCAACGATAGGTTTGCGACGTTGCATCTACGGGAAAAGGAGTTGTAGGGTTGAAATAATTCATCACCTACAAGGCCGCGTAGACACTTTTGAAATTTGTCGAGGGTTGAAAGAGAGGATTGGGCAGCAATACTCCATTTATCCAGATCTGACTCTTGTAAAGATAGATGTAGGTGGAGTCAGTTACTTTTTGTAAGAGGGATAAGAAACTGACCATTTTTCCAGTTTCTTTAGCGATGTTTTCTTTTAATTGATCGATTCCTTTTCTACGGCTTGTCAACCCTCTGCAGCTTATTTAAAGCCAGAAAATAGTTCTATATTGGAAGAATTTAATTTTTTGAGGTAATGATGATTTTAGAGATACAAGTCTTATTAAATAATCCATAGGTGGAGGGGGAGTGTTGGATTTTTAAGAATTGATAAGAATTCGATAAAAAAAAATATAATGTGGATATAAAGTGGGGGATCAATTTTATATTAAAATCAATATATGAACTGATCCCTCACTTTGTGGTTACGGTAGTTTTTATACATTTATATTCCAGATGAGGTAAGTAAAATCAAAACGACCTGCTTTTGTAGCTAATCAGTATTCCATTGATTGATTGGTATGTTTTCTAAGGCTTATCAACCGTTTGAAGGTTATTTAAAGCCAGAAAATATTTTTAGATTGTAAGAATTTTTTTTTGGGGGGGGGATAATAATGATTTAGCGATACCAGTCTTACTAATTAACCCGTAGCTGGAGGTAGATGACGCGGATGCATATCCTTTCCCAAGGGTATTTACCCGTAAGTGAATATAACGAACCCAAGTGGAATTGGAACTCAGTTCTCCAATTAATAATTCCTAGCCATTATCCATTACATTAGATCACTTGCACATCCAAGCTTAAAATACATGATAATCCCGAGCGGTCACCCATCTAGGTACTGACCAGTCTCGACGTTGCTTAACTTCGGTGGTCGTACGGGAACCGGTTTTTCAACGTGATATAGCCTTAAGCCACACCACCCGCACATTCAAGCTTATAGTACTTGGTACTTCCAAACGGTCACCCATATCGGTACTGACCACGCTTGATGTTGCTTAACTCCGGTGTTTTAATGTGATATGTCCATAAGCTTTAGCGATGTGTTCTATATATGAGTTCAATTTAAGTTTTGGGCATGGGACCTCTTTGAGAGTGCAGCAGTTCATCTTTATTGGTGAGAATTCAGGATTAGCATGATAAGGATGAAAAGTTTTGACTTTGGAGGGATTGAAAGTTACAAAACAGTTTTACTCTCGACTTCTATTGGACTGTTGGAGTTCGGTTAGAAGAGAGATCAGCTGACAGCTTTGCCTAAATCTGACATTAATTTAACATTTGTTCAGCTTTTTTTCTTTATGCGGTTCGTATCGAATCAAAACATGAATTTATATTGTATATATGATGTTTTTGAAACACAATTTACATAGCAGACAAAGCAAACCGAAGGAAATTGGTCATGTGAGAATGACGGCAATTTCGCGGGGAAAAGAATTTCACACCAGGAGAAATAAAATAATCAGCCAGAATACATTCCAGTGGCTATTGGTTATTTCTATGTAGTGGCTATTTCTATGTAATGGTTATTTCTGTGTAGTAGCTATTTTTATATAGTGTTTATTTATATGTAGTAGCTATTTTTTATATAATGGTTATTTCTATATAGTGCCTGTTTCTATGTAATGGTTGCTTCTGTGTAGTATTTATTTCGCTGTGGTGGTTATTTTTCTGTAGTGGCCGTTCCTATGTAATAATAGTTTCTATGTGGTGGCTATTTCTATGTAGTGGCTGTGTCTATGCAATGGTTATTTCTATGTAATGTCTATTTTTATATAGTGGTTATTTCTATATAGTTGCTGTTTCTACGTAATAGTTGCTTCTATATAGTGAGTATATCTAATTTTCAACAACGTTCGTACACCTTGCAGAAGAAATAAAGATCTGAGTTGCCGGCAGCCGCTCAGACTCGAGCTTCGTGATCGTCATCCTCTCTCTCCCTATTTCCTTTCTCTCCTCCTGTGGCGGTGCCGGAGATATCTGTAAATCAAAGAGAGTTTGACGAGGCCATTCGCGTGAATTTGTTTTTGGTGGACAACTCTGCGAAGCGGAGAAGCCCACACACTTGGCCCAGAAGCTGCCTCCCTCGCAGCTCAAATGATATTGACACAAACCTGGTTGCACCGGACTGTCGGAAGATGGATCACTTAAGGTGCGCCTTAATTGCGCTAGCCCGACTGGCGCTGATCTCTTTCGTCGGTTTGGTCAGTGGGGTCATGTAGAATTTTGCCTATTCTACCGTTGGAGGTCTTTGGGTGTTGGTCGTCTTCGACTTTACCGTCATGGGTAGCCCTACTAGTGTTGGAACTCCAGGCGGCTAAAGAGCTGAGTAAACTTTAAAGAACCTTCTAAGGCGTTTAAACGAGATATTATAAGTTGGCTCATTGTATAGGCCCCCAAGACCTGAGCAAACTTCAAAGCGACTTCTCATTCTTTGAACAATGTTCTACATCTGAGTGATTGTACAAGAAATAAAGATCTGGGTAAAATTGAAAAGCACTTATAAGGCTTTTAAACTACATGCAACATTTGACTGATTGCAAGATTATTTATTGCTTACATCAAAGACATAAGGATTTGAAATGACATCCTTCTGTTGAATAAATGCATAGTGAACAAAGAGCTGAGTAAAGTTCATAGAATCGTCTTGCTCTTGTAAAAGACGTTCAATTAGCATGCAATAAATTTATATCTATAAAACAGAAGAAGTTTGTGTGTGTGTTTGTATGTGTATCTGTATGTGTGTGTATGCTATTTATGCACGTCCACATTTCTCAATCGATTTCGATGAAATTTTACACATATATTTCAAATTTATTAAATTAGGCTAAGACGAACATTTTACTCTCCGGCACTCCCGGGTTTAGGAGAAAAATCGATAAAACTGAAGGTGGGTACGACTTTTTGCAAAAAAAACAAGGCAAACTTACACGCGAACAAAATCTTTTATTGGATGAGCTGACGTTCTTTGCACTTAAAGCAAAACATAACTCATGTTAAGAGTGCTTGATAGATTTCTTGCAATATTGGCTTCACACAAAAAATTGCAAAAAACTGAAAAAATCGGGGTTTTTTGTACTACTTAAATAAAAACTTGAATAACTTCCTCATTTTTTTTAATTAGATTTTCTTCAAACATGTCGCAAAAAATTGTCATCATCCAAGAAATAAGATAGTGTCGTTTTAGTTCAGCTCGCTTCCCCGCGTATAAAGAAAAACCACGAAAAACTGTTCAAAAAGCCCGTCTTTCGGCCATAACTTCCTGGTTTTTCATCTGATATTTTCCAAATTTGTCATGTAAATTACATAAGACACAAATTGTCTTGCGTGAATGTTTGGTTTAGATTATTTCAGTTAAATGGATAAAATCTACGACAATCTAGGTCCAAAATCGGCTTTTGCCATTTAACCAATAGCTTCTTAATATGATTCCATCCTAAATTGGCATACGAATAACCTTTGATGCTAAGATTGTTTGAGAAGGATTATTCAAGCGTTAAAAGGGAACAATTCCCAAAGAACCTCTTATTAATCCCAGCTCTCCAGCAAAAATTCTAAGGAGGTGGGAGTTCATGCGTTTGCATTTGAATCAAGCTCTAACGCTTCATCCCTATTTTTGTTTGATTATTATTTTTGCGATCAATGCCATACTATTTGAAAGTTATTATGGCCGTAGGAAATTTACTGAATATCTAAAACATTGAAACAATTTAACACCGAGCAACGCCTACACAAGAAGTTTTTTATCGATTGAATTCCTTTATTAAGAACAATCTAACACTTGCGAAGGACATACTGTAAAAAAGATGGGTGGGGAAGTAGCTTAGTATACCAACGAATAATGCATGCAAGCGAGGACGCAGGAAGACCTTTCTAGACAGAGGTGTGCGGGTTTACAGGTGGTGCGGTTGTACAATTGCAGCCATTTACATCCGTGCAAAATTTAAAGCAATTTCCATGATTTCACTGAAACCGTACCATATGGTAGACGTTTGTTTCTACAAAAGACAACGTTAAATCTAATTAGATTGTGGCAGGGGCGATATCACCCCTGAAATAATAATAATGATAATAAAAGAGGATATGCTGTAGAACAGACAACACCAAGTGAAAAGGAGGCGTTTTCAAATAACCAAAATATTAATATGCTGTAAAGACTTTGAAATGTAAATTTTACAGAAAGTTAATTTAGAACACGAAATAAGTGTACAAAGGATATCAGATTACTAATAGAAAATTACTCGAACAATAATAATTTGGAACTTTAAAAAAAGAAATGGATTTTGACATTATAAGAATCGAAGTTAAAATTAAGGATGTTTTGTTGTAGAAATTATTTTTAAAGCAAGAATCTCTGTAGTTTACAAAGAGCAGCAGAAAAACTAATAGTGAGGTGATAAAAAATAGCGTCTTGTGAACCTTTGAAACCAATAGATGAAAAAGTAAATTGTTTATTCTCGGAGAACGTGAGGCCGGTTCTCTTAATAAAGAGGCGAGCCAACCGGAGGAGGAGAGTTTCGGGTTCGTCTGTCTTCGAATGCTATTAATACTACTGAAAACGGGAACATCGAAGGTTGTACAAGTTGTGCTAAGAACAGACAAAAAAAAAAAAAAGGTTAAAATGAAGGCCGCATCTCTCCTTTACCGAAATTATTCGAACTATTTATGTTTGTTTATTTTTCACATACAAGAAACATTCACCCTTGTGCAAGAAGAATTACTTTTTTGTGTGTGTGTTGGCTTTTATATATAAATATATATATATATAAACTTTTGTCCTTTCAAAATCGAATCGACTTGTTTATATTTATTTTTTCAGTTAACCCGATTCTCACCCGACGAACTCGTAGGTGGACTCCGGGAGAGCTTCCGGATTTCTTGACATTGAGAACCAGAGACTTGTGTCTAACTTGTAATACTGGACGATACCGGAACAACGGGTGGTCTTGTGGAGTGCGTGGGTCCAGTGGGGTGAGGATACTGTATTACAGATAAATAAATATTTTGCCGATAAAATTGATTTTAAGCAATCTATGTTGGTATGTTTTTGTTTTTGTATTTTCTTTAATAAGTGTTATATCTTAGGAGTTTCAGCTGATACCGTACTACGCCAGTCATTATAAAAAAACAAAACAAAACAAAAAAAAACACATATTGGAAGTTGATTGCTGCGTAAAACACTGATATATACACTACAGTTCAAAAGTTTGTGGTCACCCTTGGTAATCTTCTAAATTAGTTCCAAAAGTAGTTGTTTTGTTCTTTAAAAAAGAGAAAATTATTATACATGGTTAAAAAATGTGAGACATGATTTTTTTATTAGAAATTTTATTATGTCAAAAAGAAAAAAAATAGGATTAAATTTTGCTCTCGTCAAAATATCCTCCTTGATTACATCCTAGCCTTGATTACTACAGCACAAATTTTTAGCATTCGCTGCAAAAGTTTTTCAAAGTATACGTTTGATAATTGATTCCATTCTTTTTTCAATCACTAAGAGCTCTTTTTTGTTTTCACTTTTCTGCTAATTTCATCCTATGCTAATTCTGAGGGTATATATATATATATATATATTAAAGGCAAACAGACTTGCCAAAACTTAAAACTCTTATCCAGATAAATTTTAGAACAAAAACGACAATCTGTCTATATTTCTGAGATGGGGTATTATATACCCTATTTACATTATTCGGACTATTGTCCTCATCTTTGTCGCCATATTTATTACAAAGTTTCGGCCGTTGTACTCTCCGGCCTTCTTCAGGAGGTTCGACATTCCAATCACCGGAAGAAGGTCGGAGCGTACAACGGCCGAAACGTTGTAATAAATATAACGACAAAGACGAGGACAATAGTCCGAATAATGTAAATAAAAACAATACTTAAAAAAAAGAAAAAAGGCCTAACGGCAA